CAAGTATTATGAATAGATAGGTCAAAACAATACTGATAAATCCGCAATAGATTGCATCAAAATCAGAAAAGAAAAAAAGGTCAAAAAGAAAAACTAACCTTTGATTGAAGGAAGAGGTTGAGTATGGCAGAGTCGACCATAGGCGGTGGCTCACCGGAGGCTAATGCTGCTGATAAACCGGAGAAAACTCCAACTCCGGCGACTTCCAAGCCCACAAGATCTCCCAACTGAATCATCTCCACCGCCGGTAAAGCAACATACATGATTCCGGCGACGTGGTGGATCTGAATACTCCTTGAGAAATTCGCTGCGTTGCATAATCTCCATGAATCGGACCATAAAGGAGTCGACATCATGAACGATGCCTGTAACTCACTCGTCTCGAATCGACTTTCTTCCATGACTCGATTCTTCGACTACTACGAGAGTAGAGTCGTTGTGGAAAGATTATGTTTTCGAGGTTTCTTTAAATTAGATTTTTAAAGCAAGAATTTCAAGAAAACTTGTCATAAGCAAAGTCTCCAGATAATTTCTTGCTTCTTTCGTATGTACTTTCTTGGTTCTTGTCTTTTGCGAAGTCGTCATCTCAAAGTTCTACTATTTTTACTATTTTTAAATGAGAAACGAAAATTTATATATAATTTTAGAATGAAAAACAAAAATATGATAAATTCAAGTATTTTTGTGAGATTAATTTTAGAAAAATTTTTAAAAATGAAACTTTTCAAGTGTCACTTTTCAGAAATGCCACATTTTCATAAAAGTGCAAAAATACCACTTTTTCAGAAACAAAAACCATTATATCGTTTATGTTTGGGTTAACTATGTTTGAGTTTAGTTTTAAGGTTTTAAGGGGTTTTAGGGGTCAAAACATTTTTTAGGGTTTATAATTTTAAGATTGAGAAATTTCAAAAAATGCCACTTTTTAAGCGCCACTTTACAAAAATGCCACTTTTTCAAAATTATTTATTCATGATATCATTTATGTTTGGGTTAACTATGTTGTATTAGGGTTTAGTTTTGAGGGTTTTAGGGGTCAAAAATTTT